AAATTTATACACGATTTGTGGGTAGAAGTGTACAATAATTTTTTCGTAATTTTTTCAGAATTTTCATCTTTTTATAAACACATTGTAGTTGACCATGTGCATATAAGTTCACAGTGGGTTCTCTTCAAAAGGTCAGAAGATTTGATACCGTACAGAGGAAAAATTCATCTAGATAAATCGATCGCGTGATCGATTTCGCCAAGTAATCTCACACGAATCTTCCGTATGGAAAAATAATATATTTTCAAGGATTCCTCGGAAATGAATTTTTCGCGTATTTGCGTTTTTGCAAACAAAAACACACGTCAAGTACAGTACGTGTGAATTTGATCGATGCAAATGTGTGTTATTTTGTAGGACAAATTATAGTGAACAAGTTGTCGCTATCATCACAGTCCCAAACGGGTACTTTCATCACAACATATGTTCATAGCCATTGTTATTTCGGCGTTTCACCCGTTTTACGCGAAGTGGCATAAAACTTTGTGAAAAACCCGATATTCGCGGTGATATGCAGTAGTTGTGAAATATGTTTTTCACATCACTAGGATGAAACTCCATTGTATATGCTATATAGTTTAATCTCGGAAAATAACACACATTTGCATATCAAATTTACTCGTTGATATCAGGCACAGTTCGGATGGGCTCCTCGAGGACCCCCCTTTGGAAGATTTCTCAACACTAGCTGACGGGATCACCAAGGAATTGCCAAGTTCACTGATCCGCGATGATTTTTCTAATGCTGATATTATTGTTTTGATACTCGGGTAAGGAGCCTTCAGTGTGGGGGAGGGGTATAGGTGTTGGTGACAATATGAAAATTCTGAGGATTTTTTTTTGAAATTCTCATTGATTTCTGTACATTCCTATTAGAATTTGTATGTAAACTCATTAAATTAGTGAGGAAATTCCTGAACTCGGCTGAGGAAAGCGAACACATATTTCAGCACTGGTGACACGATGTGAATCTTGGAGTAGGAATATATGTTCGCTTTCCTCAGCTGAGCTCAGGAGTTTCCTATACAGTGTTGGAGTAGGAATATATGTTCGCTTTCCTCAGCTGAGCTCAGGAGTTTCCTATACAGTGTTGGAGTAGGAATATATGTTCGCTTTCCTCACCTGAGCTCAGGAGTTTCCTATACAGTGTTGGAGTAGGAATATATGTTCGCTTTCCTCACCTGAGCTCAGGAGTTTCCTATACAGTGTTGGAGTAGGAATATATGTTCGATTTTCTCAGCTGAGCTCAGGAGTTTCCTATACAGTGTTGGAGTAGGAATATAAGTTCGCTTTCCTCAGCTGAGCTCAGGAGTTTCCTATACAGTGTTGGAGTAGGAATATATGTTCGTTTTCCTCAGCTGAGCTCAGGAGTTTCCTATACAGTGTTGGAGTAGGAATATATGTTCGCTTTCCTCAGCTGAGCTCAGGAGTTTCCTATACAGTGTTGGAGTAGGAATATATGTTCGCTTTCCTCAGCTGAGCTCACGAGTTTCCTATACAGTGTTGGAGTAGGAATATATGTTCGCTTTCCTCACCTGAGCTCAGAAGTTTCCTGTACAGTGTTGGAGTTTCACCCGTTTCACGTGAAGTGGCGTACTACTCTGTGAAAAGCGCGATATTCGCGGTGCTATGCACTAGTCGTGAAGTATATTTTTCACTGGTGTTTTTCATATCACTAGGGTCAAGAAACTCCAGTGGTGAGAGAATTGGGGTAGAAGTTCAACGAGAATTTCCTCAGAATTTCCATATTTTCACCAACACATGGAGTTGCAGTATTAGAACATATGTTCGCTTTCCTCAGCTGCTGAGCTCAGAAGTTTTATTAGTAATTATGGAATTCAGATAGAACTGCACAGAAATCGATGAATAGTTTCCAAAAAAATACCTCAGAAATTCTTTTTTTTCTCATTAACACATGTGCATATTTTTCCTGCACACTGTCGGGCGATGTGAACTGATTTAGGTATTCAAGACTATCACAAGCTGGTCGGAGTCCAGAAGATTCTAAAACTGCTGTATTAGCCTTGCATAGAGCCATGTGAGATAGATGTAGAGTGTGTGCCAATTCGATATGCAAATGTGTGTTATTTTAATGATCATATGCATTGGAGTTTCACCCGTTTCACATGAGATGGCGTAAAACTCTGTGAAAAAACCGATATTTGCGGTATGCAGTAGTCGTGAAATATATTTTCTACTAGTGTTTTTCGTATCACGGTCGTAAAACTCCAATGTAAAAATGGCTATGAACATATGTTGTGATGAAAGTACCCGTTTGGGACTGTGATGATAGCGACAACTTGTTCACTATAATGTGTACAGTGCGTGCCAATTTGATATGCAAATGTGGAGAATGTGCGTCGTTTTCCATTTCGGGATTAATGATAGTGAACAACTTGTCGCTATCACAGTCTCGAAAGGTTACTTTTATCACATCACATGTTCATAGCAATGTTAATATTGTTTATGCGATATAGTTTAATCTCGGAGAATAACACACATTTGCATATCAAATTGAAACACACTCTAGTTTCACCCGTGATATGAAAAACAGTAATAAGAAACATATTTTACATTCGTGTTATCGGTCGCAGAAACATATACATCTTATAAATCACATGGAGTAATACTAGGCCTTCGTGACGAAGGGGCAGAGCTCACTGAGTCCACGTCCATGGACTCTATCGATGAATTTTACATAGGTCCCCGGTTCGATCCGCGGGTAGGACATTTCTCCATCATTAAAGTTTTTCGAGCTGTTCGCATAATCGAGTTTCCCGATTTTCCTCAACACCTCCGCATATAGAGGAGTCGTTTGATCTATCTGATAGTCTCCCACGCTTCGTAGTTAAGCCAGAATAATTCTGCACGCACGCACAACGCGAAAGTGCCTGTTGTTGCGGTATATGCTCCGCTCGCTCCGTAATTTTACCACTTCACGTTGAACAAGTGAAATTTTATTGTATGTGTTTGTCATCAGATATGGACGTATGAATTCCCTCGATCTGTCGAGTATGTGTTTCTCCTGGTTTCTGATAGCAGTCTCCGAGCTCTCGGACCCAGCACTACAAGGACCTATTGCTCTAGCCACAGCTCAGAAGGTATGCAAAATATATAATGCAGTTTCACGACCGTGATAGTGGAAAACACATTTCAAATTTCACCTCACGAAAAACAACTGTGTGATCGGTCACTCAATGGAGTATTAATCCACTTTACGTTAAACGGGTGAAACTCTATTGGGACTTCGCGTATTTTCACTACGTTCGTTCGTTTTAATTATTTCTCAACGACTACACCAGTTGAGCTCTCGAGACACATACCATTCGGAAGAGTGTAGTTCATGTACCCTACAAAGATATTAAAATACTCTCATACCCGCCCTTTATCGTGTATTGGCCGCGAACGGAAAAATGCCCTCGCCGAGAATTGAACCCGCGACCGTTATAAACTCCCTGAGCGTCGTTTCTTCGCATCGAAGGCGTATTAGTTATCGCTAGCACAGTATTGATGTATATTTTTCGGTTTTTCCAGCTCACACGATTTTGTGTAAAAACTGACAAGAAAATCTCGGAATTTTCAATTTTTTTGCAAATTTTCCTAAAAATGACATTCAGATTTCCCAGCCAGGAATAGTAGTGAGAACTCAAGATGCTGCTAACGTAATTTTAGCACTGCAGAAAAGCACTTCAGGTGAGTTTTTTTCCGATAGTGAAAGTTTTGAGTTTTTTGTATGGTAGGGATAAAAGACATTGAAAAATTGGTGAGAGAACCTTTGCGAGTAGCATGCATGAAAGCCATAGTTGACAAGTCTGGAGGGAAGGAGGAAAGTAAGATTGGAGTTTTACTCGTTTTACGTGAAGTGGCGTTAAACTCGGTGAAGAACGCGATATGCAAAAGTTGTGAAATATGTTTTTCACTAGTGTTTTTCATATCACTAGAGTCAAGAAACTCCATTGATGAAAATTTTATAGTGTGTATGGATTTGATATGCAAATGTGTGTTATTTTCCGAGATTAATGAGAATCAATTTGAAACTATATCGCATATACAATGGAGTTTTTTGACACTAGTGATATGAAAAAAACTAGTTGAAAAAAAAATTTATTTCACGACTAGTGCATATCACCGCGAATATCGGATTTTCCACAGAGTATTACGCTACTTTACGCAGAACGGGTGAAACTCCAATGTAACAATGGCTATGAACATGTGTTGTGATGAAAGTACCCGTTTGGGACTGTGATGATAGCGACAACTTGTTCACTATAATTTGTCCTACAAAATAACACACATTTGCATCGATCAAATTTTCACGCGAGTTTGAAACTTTCAACCAGTAATAGAGGGAAAAATGTTCGCTTTCCTCAGCCGAGCTCAGGAGTTTCCTCACTAATTGTAGAAGAATTCGCGTAGAAATTTACAAAAATCTATGAACATTTTCCCAAAATTTTCTAAATTTTACATTGTGCTCCTCTCAGTCAACTACTGCGACCATCTCCTCACGTTAGCGATGGCGGGTCCGGAGGCTCTGAGGCTTGACTCTGAGCAAATCGGCGAAATAGTGTCAATTTTGGTTGAGCGAATATCTGAGTTATCACAGCAACAACAAGTGAGGTGAGTAACAGTGTTGGAAGTAGATGTGTTTTTATTGTGGTATGGTAGAAAATGTGAAAAATATAATTTTTTTTAATTTATGAAAAATATGTGAAATAAATATTTTGTGAAGATAGGATTGTTGGTGAGAATTCTGGGGAAATTTTGGGCGAAATTTTCGTCGGTTTTGGGTAAACGTATATTCTTCCAACGTCTACATGTGTCGGTGACAATATGAAATTCCGTGAAAATTTTTTGCGCGAAATTTTCGTCGGTTTTTTGGTACACTTCTACCCGAATCCGTATGTAAACGTATATTCTTCCAACGTCTACATGTGTCGGTGACAATATGAAATTCCGAGAAAATTTCGGGTGAATTTTTCGTTGGTTTTTTGGTACGTTTATACCGGAATTGGTACGAATGAAAAAATTCACTGAATTTTCTTTTACAATTTTAATATTTTCATCAACACATGTAGTTGACCATATGCATATTTTTCACTCCATAGTGGTAGGTGTCTTATGAGTTTCACAAGGATGCTGAGACGATACGGTGACAGCAGAAAGGAGGAGTTGTTGTTGGCTATAGTAAAAGTAAGGTGCATGTGGAGAATGTGCGTCGTTTTCTATTCCGGGATTAATGATAGTGAACAACTTGTCGCTATCACAGTCTCGAAAGGTTACTTTTATCACATCACATGTTCATAGCAATGTTAATATTGTTTATGCGATATAGTTTAATCTCGGAGAATAACACACATTTGCATCGATCAAATCGAAACACACTGTATGTCAGGTTCAGGAAATGCTTTTGCCATCGACATCGAATTTGCGAACTAAAAGTAAGAAACTGGGAAAAAAGGAAAATTAAGCTTTTGTGAAAATCTGTGGGATTGGGAAAATTGAATCGTAACAGTGTTGGAGTAGGAATATATGTTCGCTTTCCTCACCTGAGCTCAGGAGTTTCCTATACAGTGTTGGAGTAGGAATATATGTTCGCTTTCCTCACCTGAGCTCAGGAGTTTCCTATACAGTGTTGGAGTAGGAATATATGTTCGCTTCCCTCAGCTGAGCTCAGGAGTTTCCTATACAGTGTTGGAGTAGGAATATATGTGCGCTTTCCTCATCTGAGCTCGAGAGTTTACATACGAGTTGGGGTAGAAGTGTACAGAAACCAATAAGAGTTTCTCGGAATTTTCAGACACATGTAGTTGACCATATGCATATTTTTCCGCACAGGTTCCGATTTGCTAGCATTGTGTTGGTCACAGTTGAAGCTCACGCAGTACCTCACTCGTAGTGGCGATAGTCTTAGCGGAGAAAATCGCAAGTGAGATGAATTTTGTGATGATTTCGAATTGACTTTATGACAGGTTTTTGGGTCGACTGCGACGGACGATGCATCACGCGGTAGAGCAAAGGAGAATACCATGGCCTGAACTTTGCGAAAATATACAGGTCTGTTTTTTTGGAAAATATTCTAGTTTTCCCGAGATTTTTTTCTTCATTTTTAACATCAATTTTCCCTTTTTTTCTGATTTTTTTGGGAAAAAAATCCCGAAATTTTACTTCAAGTGGAGTTGAAATCGATCGTGGGGGTAGTTGTTGCTCAGTGTAAGGGCATACCCGTGTGATCGATAACGTACGAGTAATAACAGTAGAGTTTCTTGACCCTAGTGTTATGAAAAACACTTGTGAAAAATATATTTCGCGACTACTGCATATCACCGCGAATATCGCGCCACTTCACGTGAAACGGGTGAAACTCCAGTGTTGAGAATATATGTTTGATTTCTTCAGCTGAGCTCCTCATTAGAGTTTCACCTTAGTGATATGAAAAACAAAAACAAGCGAAAAACATATTTCGTATTTCAGTTGGAGATAAACGCGTGAGATGCTGCGGGTTTCTCACGTGAAACGGAGTGATATCTCCGGTGTAATTCGCGAAGTGTTTTTCAATGCGAATATCGCGTTTTTCACATCACGTAAAACGGGTGAAACTCCAAGGGAATTTAGGGCAGAGGTTTTTTTACGTCAGCGAAAACTTTTACTGTATAAATTGATTATACTAATGTTGCCAGTTACTGCACAGTGCTGGAGTGTTCGATAGCCTCTCATACGAGGCACGGTCGGAGTTGTGGAGGTCTGCATCATATCGGCAGAAGAAGGGTGTGCCTCGACCAGAACGGAGGGAAGGCCTCCTCAGAGCTGGCGTGGTGAGTTGGTTTGATATACGTACAGTGTGTGTGAATTTGATATGCAAATGTGTGTTATTTCTTTTTCGAGATTAAACTATATCGCATATACAATGTAACAATGGCTATGAACATATGTTGTGATGAAAGTACCCGTTTGGGACTGTGATGATAGCGACAACTTGTTCACTATAATTTGTCCTACAAAATAACACACATTTGCATATCAAATTCACATATATACTGTATATTTCAGGAATACATATATTCCAACACCGCAACTGCCAGTGTTCGATGAATATATGTTCCCTTTCTGCACCTGAGCTCAGGAGTTTCCTCACTAATTATAGAATTCGGGTAGAAGTGTACAGAAACCAATAAGATTTCCCCTAAAATTTCTTCGGAATTCTCATATTGTCACCAACACATGCAGTTGAGCATGCGCGTAGTTCTTTCCTGGCCGCACTGTTGTTGTGATAGTTGGAAGAAAGTCAAAGACCGATGTCAATCATTCGAAGTGTGAATATATCTAAGCGAACTTTGTAGGGCTTCGAATGGTGTTAGTTTTACTGGTTTTTGATCGCAAAATATGAGGAGTGTATTTTTCTTGAAGAAAATTGAGAAATATTTCGACTGCAATAGGAGGTGAATCAAGTGATGTGCTATGATCATATGGTAGAGTGGGACAATAGTGAGGGCGAGCGAAATAATGCATCTCGGCTTAGCACTGGAGTGTGGTGGGAAAATATGCATATGGTCAACTACATGTGTTGGTGAGAATATGAAAATTGTGAGAGGAAATTTTGGGAAATTCTTGTTGGTTTCTGTACACTTTTACCCGAACTATTGTATAAAAAGTGAGGAAGCTCCTGAGCTCAGCTGAGGGATGCGGACATATATACCAACACTCGCACTGAGACAATACTTTTGTAGTGTGCGCCCCTCCTTGCAGGACCCTCGGAGTGGCTTGAAGGGTCTGCATAAGAAATTCAGAACGCCTGCAGTGACGAAGTAGGGATTTGACGTGTTTGAATTTTTGTTATTTTTCCGCGTTAGGCACGCCCATTTCCAAATCGCTGAGAACAAACTCGTAGAGGAAAAGACGGAGCCAGAGGAGGAGGAGTTGTTTCACAAGGTTGGTATTTTATTCGTGAAGTATTCTCGTGTATAACGACTTGATGCCATATTATGAGTTATAGTAGTGATTTATATAGTAAATCGATCGGCTGATCGATACGGGATAATATGTAGCTGAACGCGAAATAGTATGTGTGAAATTGATATGCAAATGTGTGTTATTTTGTAGGACAAATTATAGTGAACAAGTTGTCGCTATCATCACAGTCCCAAACGGGTACTTTCATCACAACATATGTTCATAGCCATTGTTACATTGTATATGCGATATAGTTTAATCTCGGAAAAAATACCACACATCGAATCGACACACACTGTAGTTGTCTGATTTGGATTCGTCACAAGAATTTAACTAGGGTATTATACGAATATATCCCATATGTGCCATTGGTTGTCAGGATCGAATATATGGCAGTATGGAACCGTCTGGGAAGATCCCGGCTCAGTCGTTTATAGAGCAAGTCCGGCGCTTGAGGGAACAAGAAGATCGAGGCCTCGGGTGAATACATCATGAATTATGACTACTGCTTGTTACACGTTTCTGAGTCTTGTTATTTCTTTTGTTGGTGATAAGTACGACGAGGGGTAAGTCAATAAATGAACGACGATGAACAGTACTGTGTGATAACTTCACCCCAATCTCGATTAATCTCGAGAGGGGTCGAAAAAGATGTTCGTGAAAAATGAGATATCTTGCTGAACTTTGAAGACCCTCCGAGACATAGGATTTGAGTGCTACTCAGTGCGTGTCTACATCCTCTTGGGTACTTGCTACCGGAGGTGATGGAATTGGGATAAAATAATAAAGCTCCTTCTGCCCGTGACCATAGCATTTCTGAAGTGCGAATTGCTAGCAAAGCGACGCGATATCACCCTTGTTAACCCTTATTATCAGAAACCTTTTAGCCATACCATGAAAGAGCTCACTCATCTAATGGGAACTTCATATTGTGATTTTAAGACCCCACCTCGGGCGTGGATGATATCAGCAGCAAGTCCGGCTTTGCGGCCTGAAGTTGATTTTTTCCGATTCAATTCCAATCACCTGAGAGAGGGAATTTCACCAAGAAATACAATATCAAGTTGAGCAGCAAGCTGATAGAATATTCGATGACTACATACACGCATGCTTTTAGCATAGGATCGTCCTGACAATCTCAAGTGTGTCCTATCAGTGGCTAGCAGGATGTAGTCTAATATATGTGTGGTCGCCTTATCAAATCAATAGGGCGAAATTGTGGTGTTATAAAACACACAACGAGCGTAACTGACCTTGTGGAAACTCATCAAGTCGATTACCTCGTACCGTCTTGACGAAATAAATTCGATAAGGAGTTACCAGATTGGATTTCCATACAGGTTTCACAGTCCAACGAAAAGACAAGTTCCTCATCGCTCAAAACGATAACAATAATTCCCATAGAATTGGACCATTGCAAGTTGGCATCGCGAAACGTCTTTCTAGATTTCTCGTGTCACCACACGCCGATGACTATAATGCAACAGTTGCTAACAAGTCATCACTAATTTATATCATGGATATATTCACCCAATCTTGATCTGGCATATATATTATCTAGGTATATGAGTACTCGAACTCAAACACTTGCAATTGACATAACTAAGGGAACGCAAAACGACTTTGTTTTTCTAAGAAGCCGCGCCTTTAAATTTCCGAGTAATAATTATCGTGGTACTTATCAACAACCGCTATTATTTATCGTGTAAATAATTCGATTTAATCGTTCGATTTATCAGTATTCGGTACTCTTCGCGTTTCTTTCTAGATAAATGCAATGAGGTAGACTAATCCTTGACTAAGGAAGGATACTGCGCTCAAGTTGGGGTTGAACCCCAGCCTGATGTCGTGAGACATATCGCGATAACAATAAGCCAACTCCTTCGATACATAGCGTGTATTACACGCATGCACATAGGGCGGCGCACAACATCGTAGGTTCGCCTGGTACTTTGTAAGAGCTCAGGGATACGCATATGCGAGTTGAGGAAGCCACGGGGTACTCCGTAGTACCTAGTACTCCGAACACCCGAACACATAGCTGAGGCCCTGATGCATCGTGCACTGGGAGGACAGTGGCGATGGGAGGTACATCCATTACAGCTAAAAACATTCGTGTAACTCAAATGTTGGCCTTTCAACTACTCCTCGCAGTTGTAAGTTACTCGGCAGTTACAACTTGTAACTGCCGAGTACGACGGATCTCAGGTGAAGGACATGTTCGAAGCCTACAAGGAGAAGTAAGGGGTCATCTAACTGGTCGGTTATCACATATACGAAAGTATTTTTGTGTGGCCAGATTTGGACACAACTTCGATGCACAAGACGATTCCCGTATGGAGATTTTTGCAGATAACCTCCGCTACATAGAAGAGGGGGATGCCAAAGGTGGGGTCATCTGACTAATTCTTGACTAAGGAAGGACACTGCGCTCAAGTTGGAGTTGAACCCCAGCCTGATGTCGTGAGACATATCGTGATAACAATAAGCCAACTCCTTCGATACATAGCGTGTATTACACGCATGTACATAGGGCGGCGCATAACATCGTAGGTTCGCCTGGTACTTTGTAAGAGCTCAGGGATACGCATATGCGAGTTGAGGAAGCCACGCGATACTCCGTATTACATAGTACTCCGAATACCAGAACACATAGCTGAGGCCCCGATGCATCATGCACTGGGAGGACAGTGGCGATGGGAGGTACATCCATTGCAGTTGAAGTCATTTGTGTAACTCAAATGTTGGCCTTTCAACTACTCCTCGCAGTTGTAACTGCCGAGTACGGCGGATCTCAGGTGAAGGACATGTTCGAAGCCTACAAGGAGAAGTAAGGGTCACCTCACTGGCCGGTTATCGCATACGAAAGTATTTTCGTGTGGCCAGATTTGGACACAACTTCGATGCACAAGATGATTCCCGTATGAAGATTTTCGCAGATAACCTCCGCTACATAGAAGAGGAGAATGCTAAAGGTGGGCTCATCTGGTTGAGGATACCTATTCAAGTTGACGTAAGAGTATCACCTGCAGGTCTGCCCTACAAGCTCAAGGTGACTCCATTCGCTCATCTGACCAATGCCGAGTTTAGAATGACCAGACTCGCGACAATGCCGAAGGCTAGAAGCTTTACCGGTAGCACCAATCATCGCAGCTATTCCTCTTTTACTGATCCTGAAGATCAGATCCTCATCTACTGCGCAAATCTTCCTTCAGTAAACGAAGCGAACACCGTTGGTTATGAGGGCTCCATTGAAGAGCTTCCCGCAGCTGTCAACTATGTTGCCAAAGGCTGGGTTACGGGTGTTAAAGATCAAGGCTTTTGCGGAAGTTGCTGGGCCTTCTCAGCTACTGGTGGTATACTTTCGCTGGCCCGCGCTGATAACTTTCGAGGTTATCGTCAACAGGTGCCCTTGAGGCTCTTCACAAGAATCTTACTGGGGATCTCGTGCCACTCTCGGAGGAGCAGTTAATCGACTGCAGCTTTATCGATTATGGGAATGCGTGAGTACCTCGATTGTAGCCTACTTGTATACGACTCTTCGACACTTCAGGGGGTGTTTGGGTGGAGACATGTCCAACTCATTCGAATACGTGGCGGATCACGGTATCGCTTCGGAGAAGGATTATCCATATACATCAACTAATTCTGGGTATTCAACTCCTTCTCCCTGTCAGCACGATCATACGGCCATAATCGCGGTGAGTTCAGCAATGTTCATCCGCTGAGCTTTTGATCCACCCAATCCTCAGCCCCATTCCACATGGTATGTGAACGTGACAAAAGCCTCAAAGCCCGCCCTTCTGGCAGCGATAGCCTTGAGTGGGCCAGTCAGTGTCGCCATTGATGCGGGATCGAGAGCCTTCCAACACTATGGCGGAGGGGTTTTCAATTGTACGGTGACATGATACTGTCATGCTCCCATGTGGAATGCTTTTCGGTTTCAGCTCCGTGCAATACGACATTGGATCATGGTGTTCTCGCAGTTGGCTATGACTTGGAAGCAATTGAGCCGTGAGTTCATCACTCGTCATGAGCGATCGCACTCGACGAATTAATACGCTGATCAGTTACTATCTTGTAAAGAACTCCTGGGGAGCTTCATGGGGCGACAA